GTGGTATGCACGCAAGGTGCCTTCCACACGGGTGGAATGCACTGGCGCGCACCGGCTCCTAGAGAAGTGACTGCGGCACGCAAGTGGATGGTTCTACAAGAGGACATGGACTGAATGGGTTCCAAACTTTCACACCACCACCACCACCACCACCACTGCTGCTGCTGCATCTTGGCTTGTTGTGAAACTGTCATTCTCATCATGTCCGTCATGCTTGGCTTCAGAGCCTTTGGCTTCTGCCCGCTTTCTTTGCACATAGCCCAGTCTTTGAGGGCCTGCGAACAGGCCAGCCATGGCGCATGGAACCACCACTTAGAAAAGGGAATGTTTTTGCGCTTTCTTCATGTTCTTCCAGTTATGCCATGCCATTGAATCTGTGATTCACAGTTTTCACTTGCAGTTGCTGAGTTGCTGCGGCACTGTCGACTACCACAAGTGGGCCCCAAAGAACATATCTGCTCCAATGCGTATGATTATGGAACCTGTCTGCAAATGCTTGATCTCCAGTTGACTCCCCACCAAAAGGAAAATACTCCCCACCACTTTCGCAGATCTTTCGATTGTGATCTTTGTTCTCTCCCTGGATCTAGATTTTATCCGCTGTGGATTCCGCCGAATTTGATTCATGGTCATAGTGCAACAAAAGGTAGGGATCGGCGAACACTGCTAGCCCTCTGAATTACATTGTGTGTACATCTCCTTGCATTGAAGCCAAGGCCCAAGCGTTCAAACAAAACCGCTTTCAGCAACAGTGGCCCAAACATTGCAATTACATGGAGTCACCAATCAAAATCCATAGCCGCAGCATCTTAGTACCTTTGCCAGAGCTCCACCCAACTTGGCCTTGACTTGCTAGTTCCGGCGCCTTGCTGAATGCACGCAACATGCACAACAGATCGAAAAAGGACTTGCCATGTGCTGTAGCCCCATCAGCATATTATGCCAACAGCACCACAGAACGCATGTCCACCATTCTTTGACAAGTTACAATTTAAATACATGCGTTGACGAATTCCGAAAGGAATAGATGCGAGGCTGGATGCTGGATGTCTTCAAAAAAAACTCAAGGATGGTACGCTGCTTGCCCGATCCACGCTTCCTGGAGGCGACCTCATCACAGCTTTTCTCGCAAAGGTTGCTCTGTGAAAATAATTGAACGCATGGTACGCCTACAATGGGGGCTACGACAGCTGCACTGCAATCCTCCAGCTGCTGTCTCCACACTATTCCACACTTATATTCTGACATTGGGTTATTCAAGCGGTGACAAGAGAACATCAGCTCAGCCCAAAACAAACAAGCAAACAGCTCCACGAGAAACGGTGAGTATGAAGTGTGCGCGTCTGTGTCTGTATCAACTACAATGTTGTGAACTAGCACTGACAAATCCAACTTGCTTCCGAGCTGACAATCACGACTTAATCAAAGCTAAGAGCCAAACAAATTGGTATCTGCAGTAGGCTCGGACTCATCTGCCTTAGGCTCGGCCAGCAGCCAGCACTGAATATCTCAATGCTGCTTAAGGAGGTACTGAACAACTCATATGTTCTGAACCTAAGGAGTTGGGCCATGAGAAAGGCCGGAGTATCCAAAGTCCGAATATTTCCAGGGTCGCCTACCGAAGCTTCCGAGCCAGTCCGAAATTCCGTACTCAGTGAAGAAGGATGTCCCTGGCGGCGAGGGTGCCCAACATACAGCCACAATTTACAAAAGCTGTGGTAAACCATGGTAAAACATACATTATGCATACGATCATTGATACGCTGCTCAAGTGCTGTATGATGCCACATTTGCAAACCTGCACAGTGGCCATTAGCTTTTGACCCAAAGAGTACACTTGAAGGAAAGAAAACAAGAGAACAAGAAATCTTGAGCACCCAGAATTGAGAACACAAGGGTGGATCGAGAGTTGCAAGACATTCATGTCATCGTGCCATGACCTTTGGAAGATCTGAGATGAGGCGTGGTGAAGGGAGAAAAAAAAAGATATGAGTTGGCATGGACACACCAGAGGAGGCTCTGATAGGCTCTGGGGATGTCAAACACATTGGAATGATATGGGGTGGGCACTACAAAGTGTTCCTTCCATAGATTTGTAAGACGCAATCAATAAATTTTTGGGGATTGCCTCCTAAAGGAAAACAGTCAAGTGTTTAGAGTTTTGAGTTTAGAGCAGGGTCCTACAATTCCAGGGTGTCGGTCGATGCGAAGCAATTAAAAGTGGGGGGGTCCTGCCAAAGAATAGAAAACCATAAAAGATTGGACATACTCTGGTTATCAGAATCCTTGCCCTACGTCAGCTTGGCTTGTACTCTTCCCAAGTAAGTGAACTAAACCAACTCTTTTTGGTCTAGAACAATAGAACAACCCTTTTCGAAACATGAGCAACATGATGCAATATCTTTATTAAACAATAAAATGCTCTGCTTCACACTGCTAGCAGGTACAGCTGCAAGTGTCGTCTCAACCTCGAATGACATGCTTGGCATGAGTTAGTGGCTACCCAAAGGAACATATATATAACTTATAACCTCCTCTGCGTGAGACGGCTCAAGGCACCTGAGTGGTTGTCATGTTCGCCCAGGCCACAAGCCTTGTCTGCTGCACGTTGAGGTCTTTCACTCGAACAAGGATGCGCAAAGGACATGGCAAAGAGATGCCTAGGCCTAGGCTTTAACAAGCCATTTGTCTTGCTTCCCACTTCCTCTTGCACTGCATTTGGAAAATTGGTTGAGTTGGAGACAGGGATAGCCAACAGTTGTTTGATTCTCGAATTCTCGAGTGAAATGCACCCACCCTTTTGGAATTGAATCCACTCAGCTTCGGCACCCATCTGAAGCTTCCAAGGCTTTTCGCGTCAAGCCGATATGAAGCACGTTGCCATAGATCTTGCGCATGCCACACAGCATGCTTGAGCAAGGGAACCCGGTTATATAAATATAAATACACAGGATGGGCGCCTTTCTCAGACCAAAAGTTTGCATGGTCCCCGCCGAACAAATCTCAACTATGCAATTCTTGTGAGCACCCTGGAGAGTGTCGGCATGATCTCGTCCCAGACAAATGCTTCTCTGGATTCTGAGACACGTAGCTATGGTCTCAGCAAAGCTGCATCAATATTTAATCAAATGGTGTTGGACAAAGTAAACCCTTAAGCAAAACGGTATTTACATGGAACGCTACTCAGGTCACAAGGAACGCTACGCTACTACATGGAACGCTACGCTAGGGGTTTGATGCAGTTCTTCTCACCCTCATGATTCCGAGGACTTTGATTAACGAGTCAGGGACCATGACTTGTAAATCAAATGTGACAAATCAGAACATGTGTTGGTTTACAGCAAACGACATTAAGATAATTTAGGATGATTAAGTAAGCAACAAAAATAAAGCCCGTCAGTACCTGGACTGCGTTGCGGTTCATGAAAACGAAGGTTGCATCTGGGTAGCGTGCCTGCAGGTGGCGGTTTGACGGCAGGGCCCAGCCTAGTCATAGCCCTCTTCCGAAACATTTCAATGCCCTTTCAAAGACCACATGATAGGCTTGGTGCGAGTGCAACTGTTATTCCCTTGGAAAAAGATCTAGGGCTCACCTTTTATCCGCAACTGGAGTAGGCTTTCACAATCCCGTACATGGACATCCGTTGTTCGGATTCCTTAGCCTTTCAAGGCATAGGCCCTTTCTGGCCACGTGACTTTTGCTGTCCAGGCAGACAGCTATCAACACCCTTGCAGGTGTGATTTTCTAGAGAAAACTCTTCGTGCACCCTGGCAGGTGCATCTAACTTCACCTTCAAATTTCGACTTTAACACCAACTATCCACGGGCCCCCTTGTCGTCACGAAGGTGACGTGGATTTCACGCAAGGGGGAAAACCTTTTAGCATCAAGTGGTAGGGTGGTAGGATGTGGTCGGAGAGCTCTTGGATCCCACGCAAGCAACAGTCTTTTTGATTCAACAGGCAAGATGATATCTGGGAGCTTGGATAGGCCGTCGGCGATATAGATGCGTGCCACACGCTGGCTGGCCCATCTACCTTTAAGAAGTGCTATCTCCATGGAACCTGTACACTGGACGAGCCAGGTAGCACCACCTCTCCTCATTGAGTAGGGTCTAAGACCCAGCGATTGAAGCTTGAATTTGCGAAGGTACAAGTCAAAGTGGCGACGGAACGCCTGTCCTGAAAACTCCCATAGACGCCTCGACAAAGCGTTCCAAGCGACAAGAACGTCGTGAGCGGCTTGCACAACCAACACTGTAAACTGACCATCTGTTGTGACCATTTCGTTGGCCGCGGTCCTCTTCCTGGTCTTGGTGTCTTTTAAAGACACAATCGGAATCGCCTGTCTAGAGTTTACAAGCAAGTCCGACCCACGCAAATTCAAGAGTTCGCCTGTACGGAGGAGAGTGAAGAAACCCAAGCATAATAGGCAGCCAAAGAAGATGTCATCATGACATATAGCATAGTAGGCCATGCTCAAAATGATATCTCGGGTTATTGGCGGTGCCCGCACAGGCCATGCCATCTTTTTCCAATTGGCGAATAATCTCCATGCTGTAGGGATCTTGCGCTTTGTCAAAGGTTCATAAAAGTGCAACCCTGACAGCGCGTTGCCGACGGTGTATAGAGATTCACCGTCGCCGTCCTCCCAACATAGTTCCACCCACTCGGCTACTGCCGAATCTAACTCAGCCTCATTCTGGATGTTTTCAATGAAAGGCATGAGCAAGCGCAAGGCCACAAATAAGCGATGCGTGTTCGCATCGTGACTCCTGCATCACGCAGCAAAATGCCTCTGCGCTCGAACCTCCTTTCAGCGCGAGTTCTCTTGCGCAGGACTTTAACTGCGACTCTGGCCATCGGTCGGGTTCTCGCTGCTTTCGACGTGAGCTATAGGATCAAATAAATCCCATGAATCAACAAATGAGCATTGGGAACCTTAAGAAGCCTGTTGAGCGTGACACTGCTGGATCGGCCTTTAGAGACCACACCAATAGTTACGTAAGAGTCACTCAGGTGGAAGATCCTTTGTTGCGACCACCGCTCTGATCTAATGCCTCGGAAAACACTCAACATCAAAGCCCGTAGCTCCAGCTGATTTATATGCTGCGGCTTGGTCCATCGAACCTTGAACGCATGCTGCCATGTCCACCAATTTGCACAAATGGATTGTCTCGGAAATGCCCGAGGGTTGACCAGTTGTCCGGACACGACTCGGACATCCGAACCCGTGAAGTTCGTCCGACCGAGCTACATGACGTTTAGGTCCCGCAATGTTGTCTCTTGTGTCTCTGCAAAAGTCTGGCAACCATACTGCAATTTTGGAGATAAAGGAGCCTGAAGGCGGAAACTGGCTCGAAACCCGGGACCAACCCCATTCAACGTGTCAAATGCCCATAATGCACACGTGGGAAATGCTTTTGACATAGGGCAGCACCGATTACACAAAATGAGTATATGCTGAAAGCATCCCCGACTAATGAACATTTCTCCTGGTCATAGGCTTGAGAGTCGACCTTGATCTTACTGGCGGGCCAAGCAAGGTCACAATGTCCATGAGTCCCCGCTCATTACTGTCAGTGAGCCTCCACTGTTGGTTTTTCCATAGCAACAACTCGGATCTAAACTGGTAGGGAAGATAAATAAACCCGCAAAGGCTCCACCTGGCCCGACAATCTGCATCAGCCCTGTGCAAGCCTGCAGGTTGTGAGGGAGGTTTATCTTTCAACACTGCCCTCATACACGTAGGAAACGCCCTTGCTTCTTGTTCCCCCGGCCAATGAAAACCTGTAGAGATCCACTGATCGACTGATGATTGGGTAGGCAGCGGTGGCAACCACCTTCCGCCATCTCCTTTCTTCAATGACCTGGATGCCTTCTAAACAGCCCTCAACTTTCTCAGTGGTCCAACACAGCCTAGGACGTCTTAGGGGGACTGTTGCACCGAATCTAGGAAGTAAGGTTTACAACCCCCATCCAGCTACTTTTTTCATCGGATGCTGACTCATCCATCGAAGCCACGTTCTCTGCTGCCACTTTGATTGTAACTCGTGAGGCATCGTCAAGCAATTGCCAAATTCGGAGGAACTCAAAGAATAAGCCGCTCTCAGAGCCCTTATAGGTTTCTTCTGTTCGCTCGAGCCGAACTGAGATCTCTGCATGGAAAACCACCCCAGAGGTGAATCTCCTCAATCGTGTGGAAGTTGTCAGCCCAACTCTTGACGACCTCCCGGGTGATGCGTCTCACATCCCTCAGGATTTCTGCCATTGGCCAACGCCGGCTCACAATCCGATTTGCTGGCGCATGCACGTCCACTGCGATCATCCCTCTAGGAACAATGTCAAGGATGTCATGAGCGCGAAAGGTTCCACCGATACCTGAGAAAAGGCCTATTACCTAGATGGGCTACCGGCGGTAAAGCGGGGACCAGCTGTGGTGAGGTGAGGGTTTCACAAATACCTGTCTCTTCCCCATCCAATTTTCTCGAACGACGAGACGCTGCCGCCAGTGCGCTTGAGCAATCTCTGTACATAGCAGCGTGCCGTGTCCGCCGCTCGACGCCCCAGCGCGGTCCACTTTCCACAAGCCAGCGGCCTCACTGGGCCAGCCAGGCCATTTGTGGAGTGTAGCGCCAGGAGCGCCCAGGCGTCCTCGGCAATTTGGGAAACACCTTCTAAATCACCTCTCCTCAAAGGGAACGTGGCAGCTCGTCCTGGCCCCACGTGTCCAGTTGCGGTCCTCGGCTGGTCAAAAATCACTCTCGACAACCATTGCCAAGCACCCTCACAACCTCTTCGTTCATAACAACAACGCAAGCAGGGTCCCAGCGTTTCGAAGGTTTTGAATCCGGCGTCCCACACTCAGACAAATCTCGTCCTGAAATGAATTCCTTGCTCTTCTTCTCGAGTCGAGTCAACGCCTCCTCACAACACAACTGTATCCCTTCACGGGAGTGCCCAGTGGCGGCAACTCAACATTCCCTCTGTCCTGCTCTTCAAAATCCAGCGCCTTACCCCGCTCCTCTAGGGGGTTTCACAGTCGCTCGAATTCTCCTCACTTCTCCTCCTTGTCCCCTTTGTCGTGTGTCTCTTTCCACTTCGACTTGCCCTTGCCTTCTCTTTCGTGCCACCCTCCTTTGTCTTTCTGCTTGCCTCCTTTCCTTTTCCTTTGTCCCTCTACCAACCTCCTTTTCCTCCTCCCAATTGCGTTGCCAGCGACCACTTGGTACCCAATCTGGAGTCTCGACCTTGAAGTTTGCTTTTGCGTGTTTCCTCGCTTCTAGCAGGATGGCCGCCGAGGTGGCACTTTGCTCTTCGGGGATGGCTACCTCGAGGAACTTCGCTTGCGTCCACGACTCATCCACTATAGGGCCTGGTGTCCTGCTAGAAAATGAGCTGCCAGCATATCGGCGGATCGAGCAAAGTCCCCGGCCCGGATCAAATCGATCACCTGTGCCATTTAAGTCTTTTATGGGGCCTCTCTGCTGGCTGAAGTGCGGCCTGACGTGGAGGTTGAAGTAGGTGCAAATTTTTACGCCTTCTGTAATCAACCTCCCCGACTGCTTGTCGACTTCTACTACCTAGACATCCATATGTACCACTAAATCTGGTACATGGCACGTATGGACCATATGTGCGTGAAAAACCATATGTACGTGAAACTGCGTGAAAATGCCAGGAACCACAATTTTGCACATGTCCTTGGACATCCTATAGTATGTGTTTGAAACTTCCGCTGCTTTAAAAAAGTTGCACTGCAGTACATGAAACAAGGTTTCTTTGGGTGCAGTTTTTGTGAGTGATTTGCGTTCGCAGCGCCGATCGCCCTGCATGATCAAGTGACCTTATGAACATTTATGAACCGCAACCAATGTACACTACACAAACTAACCATGCTCTAGCACAGTCTAAGATTTCCCTATATACTATGTGTTATAATGACTGTGTACAAAATCAGAAAACAACTTAGTTGATTCTGTTTTCCTTGGGAAGATCCCATAAAACCTATCAAAAGATGCATGCGCAAACATGTACATATGTTTTTTTAGGGCGTGTGGTGGGGCGACGGCGCGACCGGGGGCGGGCCGGCAGCGAGCATGGGCCCTCCAGGAGGCGAGGAAACAGAGACTGTGGGGGAGGTGGGATGGATTGGGAGTCCAGGGATTGTATGGCCATCTGTTTCCAATACAGGTGAGATGTCTAGTGGAAATTTAGTCAACAACAAGTCCAATTTATAGATGAAGTTTTTGCATGTTTTCACTCAATGCCTTGCTGGTTTCAAGCTTTGGCTCAAAATTTTAAAATTTTATTCCCATTCCGAGATTGAATGAACATGGCGGGACTGATGCAATGGCGACCTCGATTTGTCACATGGTTGTTGATCACAGTATTTTTTCTTAGTTTTTCTGGTGTCCCCTGATTGTTTAAACATTGGGAAATGTTTTGCCCTGCAA